GCAAAGGGCTGGTCCGAAGATCTCGCCCGCAGGATTCTTGCCAAGGATTTGATTGGCAAGGTCGTTTTCTGCCCTGCCCACCTTGAGATAGAACGATAAAGCAAGAATAATTTGGCTTTGTCAAGCTGCAAGCCGAGTTGCCAAGTGTGAAATGGGAAGTTTGGGAAGCTGCTTGCGCTTTGCACTTAATTGCAAGCGAAGGTGCGAGAGTCGACAGGCGTATCCAAAAGCAGTCCTGAGCCAGAGGGTTTTGCTGAGTCCTTTGTCCCCCACGGCTGTTGGTGACTTGTTACGCAGGAGCAGGAGCGGCAGTGGGTGGTCGCAGAGCTGGCGCGAGTCAAGAAGGCAGAGCGAGCCGCGGCGGATGCCAGGGATGACTTGGCTGCAGCGCGCAAGGCGGAGCAGGCCTCATTGCAGAGGGAGCAGCTGCTGAAGGAGGAGCTGCGCAAGATGTCGGCAGCCCTCCGCCGCACCAACCAAAGCGCCGCAAAGCAGCGAGCGCGAGACGCTCAGAGCACAGCGGCGCTGGAGCAAGATTTGGTGCGTGCAAAGGCGGAGGCGCGGGCAGACACTCAGAGAGCGAAGGGCGCTTCCGTGAATGCAACTCAGCAACAGCAGCGTGCGGAGCACTTTCGCCTGGAGGCGTGGAATACCTCACAGGACCTGGCGACCGAAGAGAAGGATGCAGCTCGAGCAAGAAAGCAAGCAAGAGTCGCCAAGCAGCGCCTGCAAGAAGGGGAGCATTGGGCAAAGCTTGCGCTGGCCAATGCCACAAACCAGAAGGACGCAGCAAAGAAGGCAGCCCGGGAAGCGATCCAAAGCCTGCACCACGCACAAGCTGAACTGAAGAAGGTGCAAGCTGAGGCCAAGCAGAATGAGGCAGAAGAGCTCCGGGCCAGGGCGCAGGCTGCCAGGGCGGAGCAGGACCGTGCAGCCATGGAGAAAGTCCTGGCGCACACGAAGAAGCATGCCCTGGCTGAGGGTGAGAAGGCTGCAGCAGCCGCTGCCAATGCCACACAAGAGCGGGAGGCTGTGGAATCAGCGCAAGTTGCAGCGAAGCGTTCTGTGGAGAGAGTGCATCGCTTGGAGCAGGAGGCTGAGCTCGCAAAAACAGAAGCTAAGAGAGTCAATCGGAGCGCGCAGGAAGCGAAGAAGCGAGAAGCAGCAGTCCAGCAGATGGAGCACGTGGCGGAGAAGAATTTGTCAGTTGCAAATAAACAACTTCGAGCAGAAAGAGAATGGGCTGACAGCGTGGTGTCCAACTCGACACGCCTAAGGAAGCGTTTTCAGCAGGCGCTGACCATGCTTCATGCCAGTCATCGCGAAGACCTGAAGCTTTCACAGGAATTACACGAGGCCCGCAAACGAGAGTCTGCAGCAGCGGATGCCGCTGCAAATCGATCTGCGGCAATTGAGCAGGAAGCACACACTGCCAAACAAAAGGCGGCAAGAGCCAAGAGCAAGACGAAGCAGACCAAGCAGTGGGCAACATCTGCCGTGGCCAACGCCAGCAAGGCTGAGCACGCTGCTGTCGCAGAGAAACAACAGATCAGAAAGTCTGAGCAGCAACTGAGGCAGAATTGGCGGGCTGCAAATGCAACAGCGACAGCAGCCCAAGAGCGCGAAAGGGCAGCAGAGAGGCTTGAAGCCAGGGAGAGGAAGCAGCTGCGCATAGCCAACGAAAGTATAGCAGCTCTGCAGAAGACGGTGGCATTATCCAAGGCTCGCATCCACGAGTCGTTGGCCAACGCCTCACGCTTCCAGAGCGAGGTGCGGGAGCTGGAGCGGTCCCTGGCTGAAGCCAAGGCCCGGGCCTCGAATCTCTCCACGGCGCTGCAGGGCTCGCGCCAGGCGCTGCGGGCTGCCAACACGTCGAGCACGCGGATCCGTGCCGCGCTGCGCGCGGCGCTGAGCAACGCCACGCGCTACGAGGGACAAGTCAACGAGCTCCGAAAGAGCCTGGCCGTGGTGGGCACGCAGAGGCGCAACGCAACGCGGATTCGCCAGGCCTTGGATAAGGCTCTGGAGAAAGAACAGCTTGCAGAGAATGAGGTTGCGGAAGATGACCGAAAGAGATCCATTCTGAACGCAACGGCCGCCAAAAGAGGGGTCCAAGTGAGAGCCGAGAGCAAAAGAGCAGAGGCCGCGCTGCAGAATTCCAGCAAGCTTGCTGAGGAGTTGAGCCGCCTGAAAGGTCAGATGGACTTGGCCGGTGCGCGGCAGCACAACCTCAGCCTGGAGTTGCAGACGGCAAGGGAGGCGCTCGGTGAGGCAAATGCCTCCCAGGCGCGAGAGCAGGACCGCGTCCGTGCAGCCCAACGGCTGGCTGCTGCTGCGGAGGCCGGGGAGGTGGAAGAGAGGCGACGGGCGCGCCTCGCGACAGCCAACGCCTCCAGCGAGCGCCGCAAGGCGGAAGCGGCCCGTGCCAGGGCGCGGCAAGCAGTGGACACTGCCAGGGCGACCCTCCAAAAGGATGCCGCCAACGCCAGCAATGCCACAGCCGCCAGGGTGGTGACCAGACTGGAGGAGCAACTGCTGCAGGCGCGGCTGGCTGCCAAAGAGGCTCTGACAGGAGAGCACGCAGCCAAGAAGCGTGAGGAAGCCTGGCATCAATCCGTTAGTGCTCTCAAAATGGCGCTCCTTTTGTTGTGATGCTTCAAAAATTCGGACGGACAGTTGTGGGTTGCATGCTGCGCTGAGGAGCAGCTTGAGGCCGAGGTGGACACTGCTAGGAACCAGACCCGGCAGGCGAGGCAGCAAAGGGCGCAGCTGGCAGGTGCCAGGGCGAACTCCACCAGTGCAGAGCAAGCAACTTGCCAGAGCTTCGAGCGGAGACCAGAAGCAATGGGCCTTTTCCGTGTTTCAGGAATCCTGGTTCCAATCAAGGCTTTTGGTTCAGACGCAGGCGTAGGCGTCATTGCTGAGCGGGGCAGAAGAAAGAGGTTTAGGAAGATGAAGCCGGCGAAATCATTGTAGACCCGTGATAACACCGCAGCTTGACTGCGTGGCACTGCGTCACACAAGTTGAGGCGAGTTTGAAGAGGCCTCCTTCGCGAACGGTTGTTTCGGCAAATCTCCACGATTAGCACACAGCAGTAGCTGGCAATGCTTTGTGTCCTTGCCATGCAGGTTGGCAAAATGCTTTGGGTTAAACCTTTTGGTCAAGGGTTGAAAGGGCCCTCTTCGGCTACCTCGGTTTCCGAGGCAAAGAAGGTGAACGCTCTGCGGCAGGAGCTCCGCCGTGCGCGAGAGGGCGAGGCCGGGCTGCTCTTTGCATCTTCCAGAGGCGACTAGGAATCTGTTAAACTTACCTGTTGAGTTGGCCAGCTCAGAAAATTCGTTGGCAAGTGTCCTCATCATTTTGGTCAAGGCCCCAAAAAGGTGAGCACTTTTTGTCCAGCCAACTCCGCTGGCCAATGCATGAAGACAAGCATTGCCGTTTGGTGCAAGTTAAATCACAGAGGTGTTCCCGTTGGAGAACCAGGTTTTTCTCGAGCATCATAAGACATCATAAGACGCCAGCTTTGCACCCTGCATTTGTGCAGACTTTTGGACGTGGCCTGTCTTTGGTGTGACCGAAACGCACTTTAGATAATGTTGGAAACACACGGTTTTTTCCGTATCATGTAAACCTACACAAGGTTAGACCTTTTGCTCAGGGAACATAGCCCGGATGTATGAGCCAGGCAGATGAACTGAGCGCTTTGGAATTTGCTTGCTTTCAGCTTGCCAGATGCTATTGCCCGTGTTGATGCTGCTGTTCTTCGGCCTGGTGGTGGGGGGTCTCCGGCATCACTTCCTTGCCCTGCGTGCTCGTCAGTCCGCCACTTGGGGCAACAGAGTAAACGGAGTCCGCTTTGGCCCCTCCTTGAATGAAGGCGTCCCTTGATTTGAGGGCTGACTAGCAGACTATCAAGGTCTCTTGGATTCATCAGAAAAGAACATGATATAGTTAGGTGTGTGGGTTGCAGGAATGCCGAAGGACTTGACATCACCTTACTGTATAATATTCCTTCTCCCTTGTTTGGCTTTCGCGATGGAGCCATGCTACCGGTAAGGAAACCCTGCTGCGGCTTAACGTCAAAAGCATGAAGGATCAACAGGCAGGGCTCACGCGTCTCACATCCATGACGATCTTTGGAGCCATTGCCGTGGCTCAGCTTCAAACCATGACTCGCACGAATGACAAGCAACCACTGCAGGCGCTGAAGCTCTTGCAGCCGCTCCTTCCGGCGCCAACTGCTCCAATTATGGCCAGAAAACAAGGAAGCAGAGGCGACCCTTTGGAACAACGTGTTTTGGGGCACTTCACCGGGGTCGAAAATGAGCTTGCCCACTCTGGGGACCCTTTCGTCAAGAGTGGGGAGATGGGGAGTCCCGGCATTCATGAGGTTCCCAAGTGATCAGCCATCGGCATGCTTGTATATTGAGTCTAGTTTTGTCCGCTCCGGTCACGGCCGAGGAATGATCGCGTGAGCGGCACCCATTGATTCAAGCCAGGCTGCACGTTGTACAGTAAAGGGCAAGGCCAGCTCGGTTGCACAAAGTGGGCTCTCGCTGCCGGGCAAATGCCGTTGCCGCGGCGCCTTCCCATAATTCATTCATGGACCTTTTGGGGGGCCTATGGCTGGAGATGAATCCATAGAAAGCCGCTTGGGGCCCCAAAGGAGTCCCAAATTCAAGCGATCCGCTCAGGAAAGCTTTGCACGTGGCTTTAAAAGGGAAGTTCTGTGGCTTAGGACTGTCTGAAAAACTGAAGTAAGGGGGTTCTACTGAGTTCTACTGCCTTGTTTTGCAAGTTCTTCTTCTACGGCCCATGTTTCTTCGTAGAGGGTCGGAGCAAGCCTAAATGTATCCGGTGAGGGCCTTAACCGTCATTTGGGACTCATCGCCAACATGCTTTTGTGCGCTGCTCACCAATTCAGGATTTGGCTTCCTGAAATTGGAGCGATGCTGCAAAGGGATTTCCAGGATTCAGCTCTTTCGAGCGCGCCTCCAAGGCCGCTTGCCGTTCCAGCGGCTTCCTCAGCTTTGGAAAACCAAATTGAGATCCCTTAGCCATTCCCCGAAGCCATAGATATCATCATAGCCTTGATCTTAGATACCGAACCTTCGAGGGTTTGGCATCTCGTTTCCTGCATGCTGAGCTCTTAGGCGGCGCCCACAGGGCCGCCTCCGCAGCGGAAGGTGCAGCGGCCCAGCCTGGTGCGGGAGACGCCCGGACCTCAGTCGTTGCCCGCAGTTCACTCGGTTGCCTCCTTAGAGCGATTCCAGCTGCTTTTTTTCGGGGCACGCTTCCTTGTTTCCTTTCTTCTTGGTCGGTGTGTGTGTGTGTGTCTGTATATGTTTTCTGTGTTTGTCTTTTGAGAGCTGCGTCGCGTTACATTCCTCGACGCCGCTTGCACCTTCTTAAAGACTCCACTCCGACTTGTTGTGATGGCCAAATCCCTTCTTCCGCCATGGCTGTAATGAAGCTGCAAGGCATTCTGCACGAAAACGCCGGAATTGTTGCGACAAATGCGTAAGTTAGAGGGAGATCAAGGCATTGGATGTGACATGGCGGCTTTGGCTTCACGCCGACGGCCGCGCCAAGTAGCGGGCAATTTCCCGCGACTTGAGGACACCTGGTCTGCGAAGGAAACACCGCCAATTGAACCGGGCGTGAAACTCGCCCAACAATCACGCTCCTCAACTGCTCTGCAGATTGCCTAGTAATATGAGAGGCACACTGGTGTTGAATCCATTCTGCATTCACAGAAGGCTTGGAGGCACACCTTCGCATTTGTTTGAGGAATTGTGCGCAGTTTCTGGGCGGCTCCGTTCTTGCTCATGAGGCAGCCTGCAGCAAACAGTGGACACGCCCCCGTCACGCACGCTCGTGCGCACCCAATAGCACCCCGTTTGCGTCGGCCTTGTCAGCCGCATGCAGCCCGGTGTGGTCTTCTTCGTGCTGCTTGTCTACTGAGTCAAATTGACCTTGGCCTCCACGAACACTTTCCAGCTTGAGAAGGGAGTGCACGCCTGCTTTGCTCCAAGAGCACGTGCTTCGGCCCGCTTTCAAAAGGTCATGCACTGATTTGTCAGAAGCCACCTGCAAGCTGCTTGACACGTGCTTGAGGTTTGAGAGAGGGCTCTCCGGCCTGCGCGGGTCCAAGTGGTGGAGCTCGGAACTCCATTCAAGTGAGGGGTTCAAAGCCGGGGGCCGTTCATCTCTTGTTTTGCCCGTTCCAATGATTCCCCAACTCAGCAAAAGGCGTCCGGCAGTCCCCAGTTGCCCAGGCCTCTTTGCTCCAGATTGCTCTCCACAAAATATGGGCATCCGAAGGGCTCCACTCCTATGGCCACCAGGCAAAGAATCCCATTGAAACTATGAAGACATAGAGAGACGTTTCATGTTGACAGATGCTCTTCCAAACTGCTCCTTTTGAGGGCCCAACTTGTTTTGACATGGCCACATGTTCGCGACCAATCACCGGCAAATGGGTCAGAACATGTCCCTAACAAGCCGCGTCCCCAACTTGCGCCTAAGGCTCGCCAAGAGCGAGGCAAGGCCTACCCAACCGACCAAGGACTGCGCTATGAGTTCGCGCCTGCAGGGGTCCCCTGCCCTAAACTGCCTAAAGGCAATCGGCGTAGCTCCTCGAAAAAGGAGCTGGACAATTTGAAGTGTGGTCCGTGGATGATACTGTAGTTAAAAGGTTAGGGTGAAGTTTCTTGTTTGTGATGCTTGACTTTGGGAAATATCCGGCACCATCCTTTGTACGATCTCTCGCAGCATACCTTGGTCAGTTGATGCGTGCATAGTGGCCTGATTGATTTGATTTGTGGTACTGCGCGCCTGATGGGTTCGGGCAACAGGAGAACAAAGGGTGAAGTCGACTCATTTTTTTTGGATGCCTGAATTCATGTTGGTGAGATATAGGGGTAATTGCGACAAATGTGCAGACCAATCGCGTCATTGTTTGTTCAAGAACATGCTTTGGATGAGAAGGTGTTTATTCATCCAGTTGTTCGCTTGTCTCAGGTCTGCACTGTCGGCAGATCTGGGGGTCCCCTCAGTAGCGACAATTTCCATGCGCATGACGCTGGGAGGCTCATGGATATGTACAGACAGAGTACGCAAATCCCAGTTCTTGCCAGCAGAATAGCAAGGGCACACACAAGGGGAACGTGGTTGGACCCCGTTAGGCAGTGAGGGGGCCTCCAAGTGAGTAATCCTTTCGCTGACTTGAAAGGAAACCAGCGGATCACTTCATGGACCCACTTGACCGGATTAACCACCCATTGGAAAAAGCTTTTTCGGCGGCCCGTCTGAGTTGCCAGGAGACGGTTGCGGAGTGGCGAGAGGTGATTGAGTTTCAGGTCTCGCCCTGGGCTCGGCCTGGGAGTTCGGGGGGCCGAACCCGGTTCGGCCATAGGCAAGGGAGTCTCCTCGATGAGGGTTCTGTGAGGAACCGTGTGTGTGAGGAACCCTGTGCATAGTCCGAAGGCACCAACTGCGGTCAACTAGGCCCTTGCCTTTTGTTGCTTCTGTGACGGATTCGCATAGCCAAAAAGGCATGCAACATGCATTCTGTCCTTGTGTCATGTCGCCCACACATTGCGGCTCTGAGCTTGAGTAGTGCAAGAGACTTAATCCCAAGATGGCCGTGGGGATGGCTGGGCTGGAGAAGCCCTTGCTGGGCAAGAATGGCAATCACAAGGCGCGATAGCTCTGTCTGGCCAGCACTCCAGCACCTCTCAAGTCGCTCAAGTTCGAAGTTCGTGGGCAGCATGCGGACACTTTGGCTGCAGCACTGTCAACTTGCTCGGTTTCCGTTTCTCCAGTCCGCTGAAGTGGGATCCACCGTGACGGCCACTGTCGGGGCCTTTGCGTGAGGTTTGCACACAGCATGTCACTGGTTGTTTGTTTTTCTTTTCTTTTGTCTTTCTTTTCTTCAGGTCACTGTACTTAGCTGGGATGGGCGGCCTTGAGGTGATCAACCTTCTGAAGAACATGGTCGGTGCCGGCCTCCTGAATGCTGGGCCCTGAGTTTCAAGGTTAAGTCTCATGATTGTTTCGAACCTTCAATCAGGTTTGCGTGGCCTTCCAATATGCGTCCGTCATGGGAGGGTTGCTGATCATGTTCTTCTCAGCCTTCGTTTGCACGGGAGGATGCGAGGGCCGCCTCTTCAGCATGTGTCGGCTCCATGTTGGGTGTTTCCCAATATAAGGGACCCCTTGCGCATGGTGTCCTTGAGGGAACTCCTGGATTCTGATGCAAGGCAACCATTTCTGGTGGCATGTCTGTGGGCTCTCGGTCGCCCAGCCATGTCTTGCGCATCGCAGGATTTCTGCTCATTGGCTACTGCTGCTCGAAATTTGGGGTCCCAGGCTCATTCAGCTAGAAACGGCATGCGATGGCACGCGTCAACAACATCAGGCCCTTTTGACGCCCCTGGCAAGTGAGTTTTGGAGAGTGCATGTTTGAGGCCAAGACCTTCCGAGAGCTTTGGCGAGCCGCCATGGGCAAGCGAACTGAGAAGAGACTGCGCACAAAATGTCGTTTGTCAGTGTGAGTGAACGTGGCACACTCAGCTTGGTTCCTGTGAAGGTTGCGAGCTCGGCAACCGAGGACTGTCGATGTGGTGCTCTTTTTCCACACCCTCTTTAGCTGTGCGCCCTGCCTGCACACGCCTTGCGACATGCGCCAAGGTTTTTCTGCAGAAAGTAGCCAGCAGGCATTCGGTGGCGTTGCACGCCCAAGGTGGGATACATCACCATGATTGGCGACTTTTGCATCAAAAGTGCATCGGGGCTGCTGCCCAACTCGGTCTTTGCCCGACGTCGTGAATCCTCCATCTTGGTAGCTTTCTTAAGCAAAGAGCGCTAAACATTCGCATCTTGTTGCTTGGCTGCGCAATGCTGTGCTGCAAAGCAAGGTCATCAGCTTGCTTGGGATTTTCCCACTGTGCTTGTACAAGGCGGGGCCGTGAAGCATTGACGGGTTCGTCGGCAGAATTGCTCAAGCATGTCGGCAACATATGCGAAGCACGTTTGATTTCCCAGCCAGCATTTATCGGATGCTTCGTCAATCAGCCATGCCTTTTGGAAGACGTCATGGCCAGAACTTGGAACCCTTGAAGTACACCTCCATCGTGGGTCTTGCTATCACTGCGGTGTCTTGTGTCTGCAGCCCAGTGGCTTGAAGAGTCCTGCACACATAGAATGCTGAGCGCCACTGAGGCCTACATCTTTTACGATGTCATCGCAAACGCTGTTGCTTGGCTGCTGTACGAGCTCGTCGGAGGTGGGCAAGATGGGCATTCGACAGCCAAGGAAGAATATGGAGCCGTGGAGACGCTGCAGTCGCATTTTTGGTATGCAGCTTGTTTCAGATGAACAACATGCAAGCCTTTACGAGTCTCAGAGTTTTATAAGCAAGCGAAGTGCAGCAGTAGCTGGTGGCCTCGCCATTCAGTACCAGGGCTTGGGCTAAGAGCATTTGACTTCGGCAACTGAGAGTTCAAGGTCAAGCTCGACATGTTCAAGACGCTGGCTTTGTTCAACGGCTCTTTCTCAGCCCACTACAATGCACCAACATATTATGCAGAGTTGCCGCTTTGCTGAACTGATTGCTGGTGAAGCCACTTGATGTGATGTGGAGAAGTGTGTCCTTCTGGCTGAGGGAGGAAAAGACCTTTTTCAACTACATGAAGGCGCGGAACGGGAGGGGGAACGGAGTAAATTGCCGCAAGTATTCATAGTGGCGCGCTGCTAAGGAGAGGTTCGTCATGACAGTGTTAAAAACACGCGGGTCAGACTGATTCCGTTGGCTCTGCGGTTTTGCTTTCGCCAGGTGAGTTTCTATGCCTTTGGCATCGCCACGCTGCTCTTCACGGCTTTTGGCCTCGCTGGTTTTGCGCGCTTTGGTGACGAAGCCACTTGGCGTAGGACAGATGCTGTAGATGGCTGGCTGCAGGCCGAATTCCCTCTGTACACTCCCTGTCATGTACAGGTAGCTTTGTTGCCCAAAGCGTTGAAATGCTAGCATGGGCTTTGAGACTCGATCACAGAGAGCCTGCTCAGACATTTTATTTTGGGTATCCTCGCTGGTACTGAAAGATGGACAACGGCTACGTGCACAGACAGTGCATTTACATGCTCACCACCTATTGAGCTCATCCCTTCCGTGAGAAATGACGGTAGCTTATGGGGAAAATGCGTCTCGCAAACCCGAGGTGTTGGGCAATGTGCTGAAGAGTGGCCAAGCTGCAGTTAGCGATGTTAGTGTTCTGCCAGTCAAGCAGTCAAGCAGTTGACAAGACACCTCGCCCCAGTCTTTGGGACCGGGTCTCGCGGGCCGGCAAGAGAAACAGATCCGTCTGGCACTGAGGCTACAGCGCGGATGATCCAATGATCCAGCTCTCCTGGTTTTGCATGATGGTCGCTCGGAAGCAGTTTCCACAAGCCCTGCGAACAAAGGGATGTGCCCGTGAGGTGTCGACGGTCTTCAACTTCCCGCATGCCTTTCAGCATCTCAGCTGTCGCGTGGAAAGTTGCCAGTTGAACAGCACGCCAAAATCCGTGTTTGGCATTGCGGCCTGGACTGGCTTATTTGAGACATAGCGAGGGCCTAGATTTACTTTACTTTGCGCCGAAGTCGATAGAGCTCAGTTGGTGTCGGAATTGAAGGGTGCCTCGGCAGGTGTCAGTGCACGTAGGCTTTCTGGAGGGAGGTGGAGGTGCCTCCGTTGAGCCGAGGAGAATGCGGTCTTCCTTCAATGCCCTGCTGAACAAGGGCCCTGAGGAGAACTTCCTCATCACAACAGTGGTGCTGCTGTCACTCTCGGTGTACATGGGAGTCGCGTTCAAAGACATCGCCGTTATCAAAATGATCAAAGGCATCTCGCCCATTCAAAAGCTGAGTGTAGTGAGGCATCTTCTCATGCCATTGCATGCCATCGCTGGACCGTGCCATCGTGTGCTAGGCGCGACGCTCGGTGTCTCCATTATGCCGCCTGACCGAATTTGTCAAGCCAGTAGCACGTTGCCGTTGTTCCGCGTCCAAAGCAAGGACGACCCGAACCCAGGCAATGCAAGTGAGCCCCTGCACTGCTAAGAGTTAAAGTCTTGGTGGCTACAAATGCCATGCCTTAGCTCACAAGGTTCATCTTCCCCGCGCTCTTCTTTTTGCAGCTGAACGCGCCAATCCGCTTGAAGCGGAAGTGCAGCCCGGCTGGTGCTGGGAGAGGGGCGGCCTTCAAGCACTCGCGCTTCGCAGCTTTTGTGGCTTTGCGCCCGTGAGGCAGCGGCGACTTGAACGACCCCATGAGCGCCACCCGAAGAAGGCGAAGAGGGAAGTGGCTTTCCGTGCTTTGCGCGCCTCAGCGAGGCCGACAAAGCCTGAACTGGCACGCAGAAAGACACACACACACACACCCATTCCGCGAGACTGTGCCTGTCTATGATTTGCTTTCCAGCTGACGCTTTCAGTAGCCGCTCCCTTGCCTTGATTCCAATGACAAGGCTTGCACTTCCCTTCAAGTGCTGCCGAGGTCATTATGATCATCACGGGTGTCGTCCAAGGTGCGTTGGCACTCATGGTGCACTACAAGCTGATTTGAGCTGTGATGACATCAAATTGAGCTGGGTCTCGGAACAGCAATCGCCTTTTTCATCAATGCCCCGCAAGGGGCCGTCGTTTCGCAGCCATGGCAGAAAGGCCTCCCACCCGAGCCAGTGTTTGGATATTGACCAGCTGAAGGATGAAGGGGAGTATGAAGTACAACGCTGTGGGCTTCCAGTTGCGATATCTGGTTCACTTTGCAGGGTGATGGGCTGAGTCTGCCCTGATGGCTGGGTTTCATTGCTGACGCCATAGTGCACCTGCAGTAAGTCCTGTTTCTGAGAGCATCTCAAGGGATCAGAGTCCCTGGTATGTGTTTCTTCGTGACAGCCTCGCAAAACATGGTCCCGCGCAGCACGGCGCAAGTGACAGCAACGGGCTTGGCACCTCACGACATGTGACGGCTGCAATTTCCCAAGCAATGTTGCCAGTCGTAAATGATTCCCTTTGAACTGTGCAGACGTTGATATCGCTTTCGTGTTCCACTCTTTGTTGGAGCGCTGCCCGTTTGAAGTGATTTGCTCATGCTGCATAGGCTCTGTAGGTGCCCTTAATTTGAGCTCTCGGCTGATAGCATCGAGGCAGTTAGAGAAGTTTCAGCCGGAAGCTCTGCGATATTCCAGTCAACTCACTGGCTGGTGTTCAGAGATGCAGGCAATTTGCAGATTGTGCGTTGTTGCAACTTGGCGTTGTCGTTCTCCACGTTTGCCTGCACCAATCTTGTCCAACTCTTGCGCCGTGTTTGCGGAAGCCGCACTTCCGCTATGGGTTACATGTGGCAGCCTTGCCAGTCGCTGATGGAAAAGATTGCAAGTTTCTTCTTGCGCCGCTGCAAGCTGTTAGTGGCTTGTGCCAACTGTGGCGCAAGAGATCGTGCAGTTGCTTCACCAGGTGTTCTTCAATTGTGCCGTTGATTCAACTGTTATCTCTTTTCGTTCTTGGCCAGCAAAGCAAATCCACAGGTACATGTTGAGCTGTTTGGGCAATCGGTATGTTGTCCACCATGTGGATCCAAAGGCCAAAGTGACTACAAATGACTGCAAACAGAATACAGCTTGGCTTGTGGCTCTTGGCGGGCCAAGATGTGCGCTTTTGATGCACCAGCAAAACAAAGGCCCAGAACAAGAATCCTCTCCTCTTGTTTGTACCAGAGACGGCCAGCTGAGGCTTGCAAGATGGATGAAATCTGTCAGCAAAGAGGCGGGATATTTAATCAGTCCTGAGGCTTTGGTTCCCAAGCAAGCAAATGAAACGAAAGGGGACCCCCCACAACTGGGTCTCAGCAATTGGCGCGCACAAGGATTTGGACCTCGCAAAGTTCCACACCTTCGCCAAATGCCACTTTGGCCATGCGGCCCAGTCTTCGAGACTGGACTGTGACATGAGTCAAACAATTCCGTCACGGGTGTTTCCAAGGCCTTAGGCATCCGGGGCCGTGCCATCAACTGATTGAATTAGTCGTGCCAAACATGGAGCATCATTCAGATTCCGGTACATCAGGAATCCCTGAATGGGCAATTTGAACAGGAAAGTTATGTATGTGTTCACGCCTAGTTTTGCAGAAGTATCCTGTTGGGTAAAAGGCCAAGGGCTATTGACCGTGCAACAAAGCAACAAGGAAGTGCAGCGGGACTTTTCTCCCAAAGAAATGTAGTCTTCCAGAGATGGTCCATGCCCTGAGTCACCAAACCTTGGTTTGGAGGGCTGCATATCTGCACCGCCCGCAGGGAAGCTGAGTGCGCGCCGGCGGTCCTCTGCCTCGCCGAGGCCGGGGGAACCCTCAGGGAAGACCAGCCTATCAGCCAACAGTATGTGAAGTAAATGGCACAGCGAATGGTAGTTGGCTTGAAGTTTTCCGCACGCATTGGCATGGATTGACTCCTAGTTGATGGGCAGCTTCCTTTTGAATCGAGCCTTCAGGTGTGCATAGAGATTTCCGGCTCCCATTGGCCTTCAGGGTTCGCCTATTCGGCGATTTGTCTTCTGCAGGAAACAAGGTCGACAGCTTCGAGAGAAGGCTGCGTTGGTGTTGGGGCCTTAGTTTGATTGACGTGGCAACGAAGTCATGACAGTTGAAGCGCTTGTGCGTGTACGCTTGGACATTGAGGCTGAAGTCCCGGCTGCAGGGCATGCTTGCGCGGCGGTTGTCAGAAAGCTTGAAACTCGGGCGCGCCAAGTGGAGGGAAGCCGTGAATCTGAATTAATCTCAAGCTTTCGGACAAGATCAGACAACTTACCCCTGCTTGGGTAAGAAGACGCGACGCCGTGCCTTTCGCTACGAGACGCCCGTAGATGCTCCACAATGCCCCGCGCCCAGGCTTCTGCACGTGGCGATCGCAACAGGTGCCTCACTGACCGTCTTGGGGGCGGCCTGGGCTTGCAATGCCAGGTGTCTTTCAAGCCTAGTCGCAATGTGGGTGACGTGCAGAGGCTCCGGGACCCAAGTTTGTGCGGGCAGTGAGTCGCTCCCATCTTGTACTGGCACTGCTTTTCGCTGTATATCCAGTGAATCCAAGGCATGCCTTTGATTCCGTGCCTGGTATGCCTTGGTCAAGTTCGCTGCTCCCGCAGCTATATTTTGCGGTTCCAGCAAGAAGGGTCCGTCCTCACCCCAGAAGAAAATGACGACAATGGTGGAGGCAGGGGTCATTGGCGGCTTGCAAGTGCCAGGAGGTTTGGCGGCATGGCGTTTCATGCTGCCCGACAAGTTTTTCACGGTTTTTCACCTGTCCCAGGTCGACCGTCGGGGAGCGATGTCAATGGAAGAATCCGCACGGGTTGGTGATGAAAGCGGCCTGGATGTAGGGGAAAGTTTCTGCGAGCTTGCAGCGAGGGGGCCATCATCTGCCCAAGTCGGAGGTAGGGGGGCGACTTGCTAGGTGGCATGGCCATCTCCAAATCCCTGGAGAATCTGTCCCTGGGCGGCGTGGCTGCAGTGTACCCACAGGCTGGATGCTCTGATTCAAGCAGGCATGGCGGCATGGCACACAGACGCCGCATCGCAGGCAACAATGCCCAAGAAGTATCGAACTGCAGTCCGAGGCGAAGTCAGCACCTATCAAGGCACGCCAAAAAAGCCAAGTTTCGCGGGGATTCGAAGCCTTGACCGAGCCCTTCTTGCTTTCTGTGCGGCATTTCGGGCCTTTTTTGCCTCAGGAGCAGGCGTCATCCCAGTGACAAGGCTGGAGGATGGCGGCGGCCTCAGTGTTCGGGTCCGTCGAATTCACAGCTCGAAATGGGTTTCTCTCGAACCACCCCGCCGAAGAATGAAGGAATGGAGTACTGTAACAAAGCGCTTCAGCGACCAGGTGGTTACAAACTCAGTTGAGCGGATGAGGCAAGGCCAGGGTGCTGATGTGGCAGCCCCAGAGTGGCAAGAAGAAGGGCGTCC